ATTAAACTAGAACCCAGCTACATCCGATTTGGCAGCTCACAATCTTTTTTTAAAAATGGATTAAAAAAAATTACAAAACTAATACATAAACTTATTAAGCAAACTAAGAAAAGTAACAGGTAAAAGTCCTCTTACTCCTTGCACCCCACTTCCCTCCCATTCCACTGTTAATAATAAATAATATTTGATACATATACTATACTTTTACCAAAATGAAAGCCCCTGCTCTTAATCACTCCATAATCCTCTTTACTCCAAGCAATGAAGGATTCTAAATGGTGAGAGCAGAGCTGACAAGGGAGAAGGCTGAGATAATTTGTGATAACTGGTAACATAGCATTAATCATGTTTCCAACTGGATGGATTTCTGGCTCTGGCTACTTTCTGGAATTTTGCAGAGTCATTGTTGTAAAGGCTTCCTCTGCTATCAATTTTTTACTGTTGTGGCCAAAAGAAGAAGAATACAAAAGGCATAACAAAATAGAAAAGAGATTAATGGTGAGTGACGGGTGCAAAGATGTAACGTCCTGGCCACCCTCAGGTGGCTGTTCAGAGGTTTCCACTGAAAGGAGGCTCAGTAAGCACTCAGTTACTGAGGGAGCCCGTTCCCATCCCACTACTGCCAAGTGGATTTTCCCGGCAGTTAGATATATGGCACTGAGAAGTCAGTTATGAATATGCCTGTTTTTGCCCTTCCAAACAGACTGAAATGATATGGGAACAATTACTGAGTTACTGTTTTAATTTTTTTCAAAAACATTAAGCAAACTATCTATTACCTATTAAAATAAAAGTATTCCGTTTGTTCTTTTTATGGGAAAAATGTCTGTTTTAATTTATTAACTTACGAATCATTTTTTACCAAAAAAAAAAAAAAATCTGTCAGTGAAAATGTCCTTTTTAAATGGCGAGGGTCATTGTCACTGTGTGTGGAAGGAGCCACCAGATGAAAGTTGAGCTGTACCTTGCAGCCAAGTGCAAAAGAATATGCACAGAATCAACTGAGCATCCTTAACTACGAACCGCCTAGGTGTTTCAGAATTACAATGCGGAGAGTACTTCATTTGCTGTATTCATATCAGGAAGGGTCTGTGAAAGGGGATTTTTGTTCTCTTTGATTGAGTCAGTGTCACTAATAATAATAGTTTAGTTGCTCAAAAAGCCCCTTGAAGAGAGTTTTTCAATTTGCTTATTTTGTTTGTTTATCCAGTGCTTTTTACATTAAATATCTTACGAGAAATTCACTTCTTTAAACAAGAAGTGATTTTTGTTTCCCTCATCTTTTCTCTCACACCAGAGTAATCAGTTGAAGAAACCCTAAGGGTGTACTTACTTCTCGTTTTCTCTTAACTTCCCAGCTCTCCGGCCTCAATTCCCATTTCTCCAACCCAAATCCCTGAAGGAAAAAGATGAGAAAAATAATAAGGAATGCCTTAGGACGGCTTTCTACCACTCAGAGCCCACTATAATCATGGTAGATGAAGATAAAACAGGTTTAGGGTGCTTCCGGTGTCGCCCAACAGCAACCTCTTCCTAGAAGCTGAGCTAGCAATCAACATAGATTCTTTAGGGCTGAGAAGCTGACCCCTTTCTTTTTTTTTTTTTTTTTTCTCATAGTTCTTGGCATTTTACAGAAACTATTGGGAAAAAAAAAAAAAAAAAAAAAAATGAGAAAGTTTCTTTTCCTTCTTTATAAATTATTGGGTTAAAAATGGCAACGAAAAAGTACACCACTATGTATACACAGGAGTCAGTGATCACTGACACCTTAACGGGCAAGCGGACAGAGGCAAGAGGTTTTTGAGTTCATCCCTAAAGTTCCTTGAAAGAATATAATTATAGAAACAAATCGTTTAAAATAGCCTTTACTTATGAATATTTGCTCAAATATTTCCTTTTGTTTATTCAAATACTTGTTCTCTGTTTTCACCACACATATAGCTACTCTTTCTCTGTTTTTCAGCTCTTATAGGACATTTCTCTTTTACGGTTGTGATTCAGGCAACTGAAAACCAGACCAAACCTTACAGACTGGATTCCTGAAATGTCCCACCTGCTTCACATGTCCACCTTTTGCTAACGCCTGTTCTCTCACCTCTGGATTTCCTGTAGTAGCCAGCCAGTATTTCGTGTGTCTCTCACAATATATTAACCCCAACCAAACCCGTTGCCGTTGAGTCAGTTTTGACTATAGCAACCCTGTAAGCCAGAGCAGAACTGCCCCGTAGGGTTTCCAAGCAGTGGTTGGTGGATTCCAAATGCCGACCTTTTGGATAGCGGTGAAGCTCTTAACCACTGTGCCACCAGGGCCCCCGCTATATATTTGGAGGGTTGAGTAATAGACTTATCCCAGATCAGCACTATTATTACCCCCATTTTACAGAGGAAGAAACTGAGGCTTAGAGGGGCTAAGTAACTTGCACATGAAGTATAGTTGGTGGCAGGGCTTCCAACTGGGTTTCTTAGACATTCAGGTTGGTCTTAACCAACTACAGCGCAGCCTCCTTTTCTTAAAAAGGCACTAAGTTGCCGGAAGCTTTGGTAATGACCTTTGATCAGATCTGACCTCTAGCAGACACCCAACCCTATCCCCAAAGGCCACAACCCAGAACTTACAGGCAAAGTGTCTTTGAGCAGACTAGAATTTCCTGTTAGAGTTATCTGCCCGGCTCTCTTTTACTGAAAAGCCTCTGTTGCCCTAGAGACTGACCAATGTAAACCCAGAGCCCAGTCAGGTGTCAGGACGCTGAAGACTGGATCCCAGAGGCAGGGTCTCTCCTCAGGGTTATGACAAAAGCCGGACAATATGGGTTCAGAAAGCAATTCTCTGGAGTTTGGGGTTGGTTTGGTTCGAATCAAGATGTTTTGCTCCCCTGCCTCCCTTTTGTGTCCTAACTGAAATCCAGCTGTTTCTTCTCTCTGGGCAAGAAAATTGCTTTCCAGTTTTGTAAAATACGGACAGAACCTCAAATCAGAAAGTTCTTTAGGTAGTTTTATTCTTCATACTTTTCTGAATTTCCTAAATATTCTACAAAAAGACGTGGAAAAAAACTGTCGAGTTGATTCCGACTCATAGTGGCCATACAGAACAGAGTAGAATTGCCCCACAGGGTTTCCAAGGAGAGGCTGGTGGATTCCAACTGCTGACCTTTTGGTTAGCAGCTGAGCTCTTAACTACTGCACCACCCGGGCTCCACCTACAAAGAGAACGTTGCTTTAAAATAGACTGGCATTTTCAAAGTCTTTCTGGGTTTTCCAAGTTACTAACTTTTGCAAAAATCGCGACGAAAATGGAAGAAATAAGATGGAAACGATGTAGGGGACAGTTAAAAACGCTATATAAACATCACCTGAAAAAGGAAAAGCTCTACCGAAGCACAAATTGGTGTCTTTTGTTGTTTTTATTCTGCCAGTTAGACCTGAGGTCCGGGGACTCCGGGAGGTTGGCTTTAGGGGATTCGTGAATTATTCGCAATTCTAAGCATTGGAGGGTGCTTTAGGCCGAAGAAAGCTTTCAGTGTGTGAGAGGTGTGCACCTGTATTAGTTTAAGGAGTGTGTGTCTCTCAACGTGGCCCTGGTCCCAAAGACTCTTGGGGCATGAGTCCCTGGGTTTTGCCTTCCAGGAACCCCTGGCTGGAGAAAAAGAGTCAGGATCAGAGAGATTAATAATTAAAATTGGAAATGCAGTGATCCGGATGTGACCACCGCCAGTCCGCGCGACAATGACCCGAGGCCCTGTCCAGAGCCGAGTCTCACACCTTTAAAGTTAACTTCTTGACCAAAGCTTTTCGGTAAGGGGTAGCAAAGACCACATTCTGACGCCCGCAGGGGCACAAAATTTTCGCAATGCGTTTTATTATTCATAAAAAAATAAATTTATTTACATTTGCCAATTACTGTGGTAGTGCAGCTTCGGAGCAAAGGCGCATTCCCCTGGGGCAGGGTCACGTGGCACCAAGCCGCCCCAGCGGCCCACCCGGCGCGCTCCTTAGCGCCGGCAAGAACTAGGGTCCTCGCAGGTGGGCGCTTGGGGGCGGTATTTGGGGGTGGCGGTTAAAGATTGAAGGGGAAGTGTGTTGAAGCAAATCCGAAGTCTGCGGGGTGAGGGAGAACGGGTGGAGCCAGAGTGGAGGAGTGGAGGGAGGTCCAAGCCTGGGGAGGAGATCAGAGCCTGGTAAGGGCTGGCGAGTGCGGAGGAGTGGCTCGATCCTAGAAGGAGAGGGGGCTAAACAGAAGCCTGGGTAAGAAGAGGCCCGAGCTCGTGGGGAGAGGCCTGGGAGGACTGGGGACCCGACCGCGGCGCTGAGGCCGAGCGCCCAGGAGCGCGCCTCGCCGGGCGCCAGAACTCGGCCCCAGCAAAAGCAAGCTCCGGGGTCTCCGAAAGCCTGTCTCCATCCTGCAGGTGCCAAGCCGGCACTGTCACGCCTGCTAGTATGGAGCTACCCGATAGGATACGACCTGGCCCAGATACGCCACTCTCCTCTCTTTGCAACTTAAAGATATGCCCACTGCGAGTCTCAGGTCAGGGTTTCCGTCTTTAAAGCCGATCGCAATCGCGCTCGGGTCTGACGTGAAAGGCCTGGCCGGCGCAGAGTCGCGCCATCACATACTATGTATCTGGCTCAGCTTGGAACCAACCGCTAAGCCCTTCGGGCTGGGCTCAGACGGCAGTGCGGGGCTTAGTCTACGCAGCTAAAACCCGAGGTTGGGGTCTGGGTCGGCGCTCTCCTGCCTGAAGGAGGCCCTTTACGCAGAGGTGAAGCGTGGTGGCCCAGATCCGCGGCAGCAGCGGCCGTCGTCGCACTGCAAAGACAGCCGGCCCGGGGCTCTGCCTTTCACGCCCCCGAACCCCCGCACACTGAATGCCCGCGCCCGCCACACCTCGTGTTCACAGTCCCAGGGAAAGGGGGGTCAGGGAGAATCCAGTGGAACCGCGTTAATGCGGAGGAATTTCTTCCCATCCTCTGGGGTTCTCGCGCTCTCTCCCTTCTCTCCATGGCCCCCAAACACACGCACTTAACGAAGAATCCCATCCAGGGGGTTCCGGTCCGATCTAAGCGGTTGTTCCACATAGTCTGTTGGCTGCAGAAACTTCTTTGGTGTCAGAGTCGGGTCGCCCTGAGACCACGAACGGCCATGTCTGTAAATTCAAAAAGAGCATCAGATATGAGAGGAGAAACGACCGTCTCAAACCGAAACCGCCCTCCTAAGTAAGCCCTGGGTTATCCCTGACTTTAAATAGCTCAGATTTTAATCAGTCTTCTGGGAACTTGAGTGTTTCTCTCAACTAGAATTTTAATTTTACTGGACGTTGATGAGGCAAACTGTGAGGTGTTCACGCTTCCTCCTGGATTTTGCCCTCAAGGTGGTTCAGTGAAACTTGCTCGAGCTTGAGATTTTGTCGTTTGAATTCCTTTCCCCAACACACACACACACACACACACACAC